TCAGGAGAATTTGAGTGTAATATTCAAGCTTATCCTAAAATGCAGAGCTGATACTGAGTTTCATTGTAGATTAAATTATTGTGGGAATTTCACTATTGATTCAATTAAGGAAGGATGAACTACATCTCGGTGCATCCTGATGCCTAGTGTCTTGATCAATTTGTGAATCAGAGTCAAGTGTCAAGTTTCGTTATTTATTCGAAAATTAGGTGAATGAATGCTCACCTAGAGTGTGCTCCTAAAATCTAGGAAGCCTGTGCTGAGAATTAGGTGGATGAACTCTCACCTAAGGTGTGTTCTTAAAATCTAGGAAGCCTATGCTGAGAATTAGGTGGATGGACTCTCACCTAGTATGTGCTCCTAAAATCTAGGAAAATCATGCTGAGGATTATTTGGGGTGAACTATCACCTAGGATGTGCTCCTAAAATCTAGGAAGCCTACATTGAGGGCTAGGTGTGTGGACTCTCACATAGGGTGTGTGCTTAAGTTCTAGGAAGCCTATGTTGGGAATTAGGTGATTTAAGGTTTTCTATATCTTCCAATTAATTAAATCATCAATTCTCATCTTTATGACTTAACCGTTTAAAAACAAATAAAATAAAAGAAGGAGAAGGCAAGACCCACTTCTAAAACTAGTAAAGGCAAGGGGAAAAACAACGAGTGAATCGACCTAAAAAGAAAGGTTTAAATGATAATTAAGTAAAACCCAAAACAGTAGATAAAACTCTCCAAATCCAGCCTCAAAATAGTAAATAAAGTTGTTAAACTCGCCCCAAAAACAGTAAGCAAAACTCTCAACAAAAATTGCCTTTTTGAAAGTCTCTCGAGAAGAGTGCTTAAGTTTGTTCCAAGACAGTGCACAGAATCGGCTCGAATTGACACCTAAAGTGGTTCCAAAACAGTGCATTAAAATCAAACCTTAAACAGTAAAACCTTAAACAGTAATTTTTAGAAAAACAGTAATTTTTAGAACCCCCAAATAGCTCTCATGTAAACTCAAGCATCAATTTTAAATGTCCCAAAATCAGCTAGAAAATCCAGTCCAAAATAGTGTGTAAATTCTCCAAAATCAGCTAACAAGCTTGCTCTAAAATAGTACGTGAATCAGTAGGCAAAGTCCTAACAATCCCAAGGTTTAAACACACCAAACAACATGTAAAACAGCCCCCAAGGGAGGTAATTTGAAATAAAAGAACATAGACCTACAAAGAAACATTCAAGCCCTGGAATAACTGTCATCTCGAGTCTCGTAGTATTCTCGTTTGAGTGCTCGAAGTACGAAATTAGCAAACGAGTATTTAAGATCGGCAAGCAAATGATTATTGGAACCTCACAATGTTTGCATCTAAGTGCTTGAAACAAAAAACCAACAACGAAGCATTTAAAATCAACAAGTAAATGATTATTGGAACCTCACAATATTTGCATTTCAACTAAACATTCAACTAAACATTTAAAATCAGCAATCATATTAGTAATCATATTGTTTATATTTCTCCAAAATCAGTAAAAAAATGTATGGCCAAAACATTATTTATAGTTCTGCAAAGATCGATGCCAAACACATGAATATACAATAATGATTCGACGCTTGTTCGATGGAATGCAGTAAACATTTGCTACTAGTTGCATTAATATGACTAAATATTTGCATTAATATGACTAGAATCATTTTTTTTATCCATGTTATATTTGTCTAGTCAAAGTAAATCACAAAAGAGTCCTTAAATTACATAATTTAGAACAAAACATTTCTAGAATGAAGAATCATATTGTACTTCAATAGAAGAGCAGATAAAATTGTCTTATGCTGAGAAAGAAGAAGTGATTGATTCAGGGTATACGCTCAATAATCAATGACAACAAATTTCTCTTTTTTTATTGAAAATAAAAAAAGATGAAAGGAAAAAGGGAGTTCAGGAAACATACCTGCAACTGTGTAGATTTTAGTTCGAAGGCCTTACACGCGGTGATCCCGTGGTTGCTTTCCCGGCTAACTCTAATCGCAAGTGTTTCGTTGAGTTTCGATCGGTGCACTGAGGCGAGCGGGAGAGAGGAGCTCGGTTCGCAGCGTCGAGTTGCAGAGGAGAGCGGACGAGCGGAGGAGTGGGATCGAGGGAGCGCGGCCTTCTGTTCAGGGAGGGACAACGTCGGGCGGTTGTTCGGCGTGAGGAGCGGAGAGGAGGTGAGCGACGCTTCTTTTGCGTCGCGGAAGAACTCACGGGATCAAACGAGAACTTCGCTCGGGAGCATGAGGCAAGCGGGATCGAGCGGCGAGGAGTGGGTTTTCTTCGGTGCAGGGAGGAGACACGAGGAACTAAGGAGGCGAAAGCGAGGAATGGCGGCGTCTTCGGCGTAGGAGCAGGGCGCTTCGGTTCGCTGGAAGGGAGAATCCCGTCGAAAGAGGGAGACGAGCGGGATCGAGGGAGACGTGCAGGCGAGGGAACAGAGGCCTTCGGTCCAGTGAGAGCTTAATGGAGGAGGAAGAAGGCAAGTCGAATCTTGCCTCGAGTGAGGAAGGTTCTCGATGCAGAGGGGAGGAGCGAATCAGGAGTTTTCGGTGGAGAGGTTCTCAAATCTTGCCGAGAGGGGGAGGAGAAGAAGGCGAGCGCGGGGTCGAATAAATGAAAGGAGCGGGCTTGAGAGCCGTTACTTCAAAGCTTTGGCGGGGAATTGAGGAATTCATTACCTTCCTTTCAGGCGGCCAACTTAATTGGAAAGCTTTATGAAGGGATTAAATGATAAATTTGAAATTTAAATTTTAAATTTTGAAATTTCTGAGCTGAAGTAATTAGCCCGTGCTTAATCCATATCGAGCCTGAATTGAACCCGAGTCGAACCTGGGTTGAGCCCGGGCCCGCGTCGCGCTAAAAGAATGTGCATCGATTTCCGTATCATTTGTGCGCGCGCGTAACCCTAGCAATATATGTGTCATTTCTACCTGGACGCATCCGTGCGGTCCGTTTCTTCATCCGGGGTAGTCCGGACGAGTTCGCCGACAGACGAGTCGATTCAAGTCAAAGTCGTGTGTGGTACATTGAGTGCGTGAATTGCGGCGTTCACGAGTAATCGAATCACAAATGGTTCACCTAAGGCTGTTTGATCTTATAGGAACTTCATTTTCGGGTTTTCTACATGTTGTTCCTTAGCCCTTGCAACTAGAAGTTGAGTGCTTTGAACCACTCATACGAGTTCTTTACAAAAATGAGTCAAGAAGTGGTTTGAAGTTCTACGGGAGGTGGGCTCCATTGCTAGTCCGCTAGGATGGTTAATAAGAACTTCTAAAGCTAGATTCTAGGATCTAAGAGTAAGAGACTAAGACCTCACTAAAAATGAAGTCAACATGCACATGCGATTGATTCCCCTTTGCTGTGATCGGTTCCCTGTACTAAGGCCACGCTAAAATCCTCTACCGCGCCTCCTTTGCTTGCTTCGCTTTCTTCTGTCAAAACGTTCGCACGTTCCTGCTTGCCTCATGCCATCCAACCCACCGAATCCTTCACAAATAGTTTCTTGTCCCTAGCTTGCCATCCCGTGTCGTCTAGGTCCGATTGAGCAGTAACGGCGATGCTAGGGCTCTGATACCATGAATAAATAATTACATTGGTAAAAAGTTGCTTCTTCGTCAGTTATGTGTTGGGCTTCTATAGAGCCTTACAAACTTTTTTGCAAATAACCTCTAGACTTATTATATATTTCCTATTTAGATTTAAACCCCTCAAATACAAATCTCAACAAAATTGTATCGTAAACATCAAGTTGATAGATGTTTTGCTAAAATCTAATTCGGTAATCCTATTCATTTCACTTCTGCAGTGCTTAATTTTTTGCTGTCTAATTTTTTATGATCTCATGTGATAGTAATTTGTTTAAATTTGTTGCAGGCGATGTGGAACTAACCAATATGCAGCTCAAGCCAGAGGCACTCAATGCATTAAAATTACCGGTGAAAGTGAAGGCTGGGTTTCTTGGTTCTGTGAGGCTTAAGGTTTGAAAGATCTCATCTACTAAAATGCATCTCGATTTGAAGTTGATTGGATTATTGTTGCTATGTTTTATCTGTGAAAGCACCTTCTCTGTTTGTTTGAGTTTTGCCTCCTTAATCCTTTGTCAGTGGGAAGGCTACTTATTGTTTATGTTGCAAAAAATGGATCGGCCTAGGTTTTTAATTTCGATTTTTTTGAGTATTGCCTTGTTCAACGTAATGAAGCACTTGAAACTCGACCTCAGTATTAGCTGTAACTGATACATGCGATGGATGTGATAGGGTAAAGTTCAATGGTCTGTTGTGGTGGATCTTGGCATGGGAGATGATGACCTGAGCTACTGGTTTTGTATGGAGGGTGAGTAATTGATGATGACAGCAAGTATAGTGGAGCAAGATTAAGATGATGGAAAAGTTGACCAAATTTTGGACAAATCGATGCTTGTCAGGAGGTGTTGTTTCTTCTTTTCCTGGTTGGCTTTGATATTTCAACAATTAAGCTAATTGTTATCCTATCTGCGGCTCATATAGAAAAAGAGCCGATGAAGTAGGAAATGGTGTGGTGTTTGGAGAAAAAAATACAAGAAACAGGTGGAAAAGTGTTTGGCAGAAAAATTACAAGAAGCTGGTGGAAAATTGGTGCATCGAAGATGCTTCCATTGAAGTGGGAAATGATGGCGATAGTTGGACCGTGGCTTTTGTATAGATGAGTGATGGTAGCTCTGATATTTGCATTTGTATAGATGAGTGATGGTAGCTCGGATATTTATTATTGACAACATTAGTTGGCTGGAGGTGCATTGATGGTGGTTAATAATCGCTGGGGTTGGGCGACATTGCCTCCTAGGATTCGTTCAGGGAAAAAAGATTGGCTGTTTATTTTAATTGGGTGAAGGAGGGCTGTTGGACTGAAAGCTAATGGTTGAAGTGCAACTCTGTCTGGCAAAGTTGATCTTGTATTGCATTTTGTTCAAAGTAACTATTGGGTTGATTTTTAAATGTACATAGTTAGGTAGGAATGCCTATGTTTGGCATGTTTTGTGTTGCAGGATAAGGTCTGTCAATTTTCTTTGGTACTACGAAGTGTAAAATGGACAGTCGATTAGATTAATATTAAACATGTTTATTGTAGATTAAGTACATGTTGATTATTAGTGTTTACTTGGGGCTTTTTTGGGACCGTTTTTGTTTTTATGTTTGCTTTTATTTTTAAGAACGTCAGTTTGGTGCATTTTTTTAAGCATTTTTATTTTTTGTTTTCAAAAACAAATTTACTTATTTTTAAAAAGAGTCAAAACAACATTTAGATATTTTGAGTGTTTTTAAAAACAATCACTACTAACAAATTTGTTTTATGTCAATTTAAAACATTAAAAAAAAAAAAAAAAAAAAGGAAAAGGGACCCTGAATGGTGATCCTGAATGGCCTGTAGATTCTGTTTTGTGCTGGGCTTTCCATACCTCATCTCGGAGAAGTATTATTTTCTCTAGAAAAAGGCTTCTTATATAACTTTTCCATTAATGATATTTTGTCCATTCAGGTACCGTGGAGCAAGCTAGGTCAAGAGCCAGTTTTGGTTTATCTTGACCGCATTTTTCTGCTAGCAGAACCATCAACGCAGATTGAAGGATGCTCTGAATACGCTATACAAGAAGCTAAGAAAACTAGATTAAGGGTAGGGCGTTGAGCTGTTAATGCTACATCTATTTTGTGATGTGATCTCTGATCGTTTTTTTTTTATTTTTAAATTCAAGGAAATGGAAACGAAGCTATTGGAGCAGCAGCAACAGTTGAAGTCAGAAATGGTGTCTCTTTATGCCCGATTTTTTTATTGTTTGTAATCGGTTTTTACTGGGATGCACTCTACTTACGCTATTTGATTTGTCTTGAATCTTTTTTGTCAATTCAGTTCTAACTTCTTTTTAGGTGGTTATTTTTGTTTTGACATGATTGTATGTGTTCTCTTTTGTATTTAATTATTTTTTAAAGCATTTAGCTTCTATTTTTGTTTGTCATCTTAACTTTGTCAAAGTAGGAGATCTAAGCTGCAGAAGTTATGGCATGGGAAATAATTGCATATGAAATTATGTAATTTTCATTTTTAATAAATGAATCCACTTCGTATCTCTATGTGGTTGGTGGGAGAAAAAAAAAGAGCTATAGACATCAATTCAAGCTAAGTGTGTTGGTGCAGACACTTTCATGTAATTTCTAATCTTTTGCGAAGTTCTCATTCAAATGTGGGCGGATTCCCCATGAAGCCTTAACTTAGTTACAGGAGAAACTTTGTTAGAAGAAGTAACTCCTGGAAGGCAAAACTTTATAAGATTTGGATCGGCTAAGCTAGTGGTGGAGCGTTCTCGACAATACATGGAAGAAAATTGTTCAACTGCTTTTATAACATGTAGGATATTAAATTGGCTCGTGTCGAGATCCATTTGTGGCCATGAGTTAAGAAGAAGAGCTGTTATCATTAATAGGGTTGCGATCATGATCAGTGGTATTGATACGTGTAAAAACTTGAAATATTTGGCATTTATGATAATTTTGTCAACTTTTTCCAATCCATATTGATTTCAGCATGACAAAAGGCCTATGAAACAGGCTCTTAACTAAACTTAGTATTTTCTCTGTTTCTCTTTCCACTTGCAAGCCATTGCATTCTGACAAATTTTCACGGGATCAGTTTATCCTTGAAGAGATGACAAACATTATGAGGTGTAACTGTTTGCTTAAATACAAAAATGTACAATGACTCTAGGAAAGTAGAGAACAAAAACACTACTATTATATTTGAGCTGTTTTACAAGTGGTATTTTTGGGAGGCCCTTGCAGTGTTACAAAAATGTAAGGTTAAGAACCTTGTACTCAAGCTGCCTTTGGGTTCGTTTGGGGCAGCGGTGCGGTGGCGGTGTGACAACGCATTGTAGTTTTGTCTGTTTGGGTAAACTGTGTTTTGACAGCTGCAGTTGAAATCTGCATTTTTCTACAGTTCCTGATTGAGGTGCGGTGACGGCTTTCTAACAGCGGTCTGACTTTTCAAAAAAAAAAAATAGTAATAGCCACCATAGTTTTTTGAATATCAGCTTATTTTTCAGCAGCTTCACAGCTGCTTTTTAATAAACTTCATACAGTTGACCCAAACAGACCCTTTATCATTGACAAAAATGATGAATTTTGTGACTTTCAAACGTTGGATTAAACATGAATGAACACGAAGTATAGTTAATAATGCTTCTGGCTCTTTCTAAATATTTGATTTGGGGAAGGATTGATGTAGTAAACTCACTCAGCATTTAGAAGTGGTTCTTTCTGCAAAACGGATCAGATTAGAACAAACTTCTGAATTACTATCTCTAGTAGGTGCAATTTCAATGAATCATGGACATTTTCTATAGTTGGTAGGAGGTTGGAGGTTAGTAATAATTTTTGGATGTGTTTTCAATTTAAATTAGATGTTTAAGCATAGGCAATAATTCAATTTTAACTTCCGAAGTTCTTTTCTGGGCTTGTACCATCAAACTGAAGCTCTCCTATTACATGATACTGCTGACTGCATGACTCTACTCAGTAGTTGTCAAATAGGTTTTTTGTACCGTGATAATAGGGAATGTCAGGTTGTTGTCAAGCAATGCTCTCTGTTTGATCTTCTTGTATATTAGTGTTTGTTCAGTTTTGATGTTGAAACTAATTTTGCTATGCCATAAATAAAGATTTCTTCGTGTGTTAAAGCTTGTTCAGTTCTGCAGTTGAAACTATTTTGTTATTGTATTTATGTCAATAGAGTATTCAATGAATAAGTACATGCTTGTACTTTTATGAATTTTCTATATTAATGGCAGTTCATTTGCGATGTTGAAGTTAATATTGTTTTGACAATATATTCCAAAGGATTAATCGATATATGCCTACCAATATTTTGTACTTATATAACGTTTTCTCTCAAGTCATTGGCCCCTATGGTGGAAGTGTTTAACAATTTAGCGCACAGTTTTTATCTGCTTAAGTTCCAATATTTAATTATAGATAACCTTCTATCACATGTGGTAAATGAAGTTCTTCAATTTTGATATCTTCTGGAGGAGATTGGTCTGTACACATTTATTTTAGTAATATTTGTGGCTAATGTGAATATTTTGTATCCTTCAAGATATTATTAGAGGCTATGTGAATACAAGTTTTTTCATTATATATGAAGTTTGATACAAGAGGTTGGAAATACCATTTTGAATTCTTGCAAAAAAGTGACACTTAAATAAACCAATTTAGATGTGTGGAAAATTCATCCTCATCATTCTTATCACTGTGATCAGCCTTATGTAAAATATTTGGTGTTAGCTTTATGAACTCTAGTCCTAAATTAAATCCTATTGAGTGCTACATGAGGTGTTGATTCTAGTTTATATATTTTATTTGACATAACGTTTAGTCATTTGACATTTGTTCTTCCCCTCTTTCTTCCAATTTTTCTCACATTGAATTTTTATACCCACATTATTGGTGGATAATTAACTCAAACATCTAAATCTATTTTATTGTATTATCTTCATCTGCTCTATTCCTACTTTTATCTCCAATCCAATTATTGATTGGTCTATTTTCCTAGGTTAATCACATATCCTTCTAAGTATTCTAGTTTTTCTTATACTCAACCTAAATATCACACTCAAACTGATCCCTTTTAGAGTCAACCGTGATGCAACAGAGGCGTATGATTTGATTAGACTAAATTTTCACAAACATCCTTACTTGCGTAATCAGGAACCAATAGACGATGAACTAGTCTAACTAAATCGCTGCAAACACACATATTTTATTTCATTTCATAATTCATATATTAATATACTTGGAAGCATTTAAATCAATCATTAAAACATCTATTCGAAATTGCTAAATCTAACATAATAAAATACATAGATAAATTCTATACGCTCCAAAATCATATAGTGCAAAAGCAGTAAGTACACATCACACATGGCTACCCGCACTGATATTTTTTACCTCTTCTTAAAAGTCAACAACATAGAGTGAGCTACAAGCTCAACGAAATAACCGAGGCAAAATAAAGAATTTTATAGATAAAAAAAAAACAACACGTATGATCATATTTAGCTCATGTATATGCCCATAACACATGTCACTACATGTTATAATTGTATAAAACATTAACAAAAAATAAATAAAACATAGAATCATGATAGCTTATAAAATATACATGTCATTCATTTGTGTAATCATAAACATATTATAAGCATTTTATAGTCATCATTCATAATTATAAGAAGCCTCAACTATTTTTATGGTTTTTCATATTGTTTGGGTCATCACTCAGCTCAAAAGCTAATTTAACTATTGATAAATGCTGCGCCTTTCCCAACATACCAGTTATTAATAAACCCCATGATATCAATGGTTCCTTAATTTTCATCTTCGTCTGATCCAAATGGTTCCTAGATTTTGTGCCTATTAGAATACCAGGAATCGAGAATCTCATCGTTCCCTATCACTTATACTTATAAGTCTTCTTGTAATAAAACCAACATAACACTTTTGATATTTCTGCAATCATAATTCCTTGTAATAAACAACCATAGATAATGCATAATCATATACATAAGTAACATCATTAGAATACTAGTAGGCAAATATTTCATAATATGCTCATCACATCAATATGATAAGAAAATCATAATCATAGTCAGAGTCGATACCGACTAACATACATAATCATGTGCATGTAACCTTCAATATGCAGAAATTATAAATGCATTCACAGATCAAAAATATCATATCAAATCCTAAAGAAAATTATTATTCTTAATTAACACAAGATTATTTCACCAAAATCGATGAAGCAGCTCTACGACAAATTTTCCAAGTTTGCATTGAACTTGTCGCATAGCTTAAACATTCTGAAATTCATAAACTTCTTTGGATTTTCAATAAATCATTGACATATATTGTGATTTAACCCCAAACATAATTTTCTTACCTCAAGTGGGCTTCGCTACATGGCTATCCCTTCTCCAATTCATTCTTAATCTCTTCTTCCTTCTAACCTTTCTTTCTTTGCTAATTTACTTGCAACAACTCTATAGAGAGGCCAAAACCCAATTCGTAGCTTTCGATGCTAGTTCACCTCCCACTACTGTAACTTGGAAATGAAAAAGTGCTTCAATTCCCGACAATCGTCAAATGAAAATGTAGGGAATGAAATGAATGTTCATAATATCTTGGAAGAAGGTTTTCTACTCACAAATATATTCACAAACCCCAATTTCATTTTTGCTTGCTGCCTAGGTTGCACATGCACTATAGCATGGTCGCTGGAGCTCTCCAGGCGCACAAAACGATGAGAGATAGAGATAGGAGAACGAGAGAGTTGATGCGATGTTACCAGAGGAGGAAGCTCAAACCACAATTGAAACAAAAATATTATTACTGAATTTCAAAGATTACAACAGGACTCGTCAAAACAAGAAATAAACGACCAATAAACTTAAAAGACACCCTAGGGTGAGGATGAGAGGTGGTGGCTGCGGCTGATAGCAAGTAGGAGTTAGAGTGGAGATGGTTGTGAGGGAAAGGGAGGGTTGGAGGAGGGTTCTGACAGCACTGGAAAGCAGGAGAAAGTAGTTGAGGGGCTGGCTGTTATGGTTGGAGGAATTGATGTCAGATCTAGGAAGGTTGGAAGGCACTATGGTGGAGGTCGTTGGCAATCATAGGAGTGAAGGAATAGGATGGGCTGAGGGTGTTAGCGACAAAATAGGCCGGTGGGAGAGGGGATTAGCGGGAGGAAAACTAC